TAGTACGCGCACTAAAAGCGAAAAAATTAAACAGCGGACTAGATTCCCTCCAAAGGTTCGTGCTTAAGAAAATAAATGTACAGGCAAGTTAATTTTTTCGGTCAGCAGATCATAAGGAGGTGTATCTTTAAGCGTCATACAGTATCGAGAGTGAAGTTTCAAGGCTTGTGTTAGAAGTTTTAATAAACATAAACAAAATTATCAGCGCATGGACCACCGTGGAAACGCAATAGTTTCACTTATTTAACTTTCCAATTGTGATAACTTTTTTTTGCCAAATTTAAACTACACATTCTAAATATACCTAGTCGAGAAGATTTCTAGTTGGACATTTTTACATTGTATTCTTTATTTCAATACTTTATCATGTGAAATCTGCTAAATTTAGCTAGTTTTTATTGTGTAACCTTTTCACAATTTCAGTATTTGTAAAAGGAAGGAACATCTAATTGAAAAAGAACGTGTTGAGGCTTCAAACTCAACTTGAGAAGTGTCAAAAATATCTGACTTCTACTGAAAAAAAGGAAAAACAAGTCAGACACAAGCTAAGGGGGACAAGATCTGCTTCCTCAAAACTGAAACAGAAATTGTCAGGTAACAGTGAAATCGCCAAAAAGGGGTATTCCCACAAAGGAAGAGAAGAGAGGCACATAATGGGTGTTCAGACCTGGTGTCCAATAGAGAGCAAGCCAAGAGCTTATGTCCTTGCAAACAGCCTAAGAGGAAGTGGGAAAACACCAGTCTGATGTAGATTACCATGTTATAAAAAATGAACATGATATTACCGATGTTTCGGGGTTGGTTGGGGACAATGCCTCTACCCAAAAGGGAAAAGTAAACGGCCTTTTAGTTAACAACGCCAGAATTTTTGGAAAGGAGATATTTTTTGTAGGATGCTACCCACATGTACTAAACATTATGCTGAGAAGAATGTGCCAGGCCGGGTTTGGGGCCAAGGGTGACATGAGCAACCCGTATGTTTTAGTTACTCTATAAAATATCTTGGCACCATCATAAGCGTCCAAGCCAATACAAGGTTATTTATATTTCTCTTGGTATTCAAAGTAAAGAGCCACCCCTTCCTCAGACATTAATTGACACAAGGTGGACATATTATCATGAAACTCTCCAGTGGTATCTTAAGTATGAAAAAGCCTGTTTAGAGTTCGCTGAGCGTCTCCTTCAAAGATTGCCAAAATCAGATAGCCACCAGACTATTTGGTAAGATGTCATTAAGCTGAGCTCCAGTCCTATGATTCAAGTTGAAGTCAAGTTTTTGTTTGAACCCCTCGATAAGGTTATCATCCCGTCTCTGAATACATCCCAAGCTAATGATGCAGAACTTGGATTCTCCAGTGGTTACCTAGCAAGGTTATAGCCAGGAATTGTTTTGAAGGACCATGAAACTTTGAGTAAAATGTTGATATATTTTCCTTTAACACCACAACAGGTGGAGATGGACAATAATTGAGAGCGTTATCAGTACACCTGACGGACAAGTTTCAAGACTCGTGCAGCTGGCGGTGTTAAAGGTGTGGAACTATGGGGAGGAGCTACCGATTTATGATCTACCAAATGAATGCCAGCTGTGTTCCAGCCTCAAACTACTTGTCTTTCCACGTCCCACATGTCTGCACAGGTTACGCCGTTGCCTGCACATGAAGAATAGAGTAGTGATGGGGGGTGGCTCAGTAATGTTTAGTCGGTCATTGCGGTTTTTTCGGTTTTGGTCATTTTTTTAGATCGGGTTTTCAGTTTTTGCGCTGAATAACTGGGTTTTTTATTTTGGTGTCTGTATCAGTTTGCGGGTTTTCGTTTTTCTGGCAGTTGGTTTTCGGTTTGCAGAAGAAATGCCTGCGATTTTTCGGATTTTATATCCTATTCGGTTTTTCTGGAATGGTAACTGCAGTTTTGAGGATTTCAGGCGATGAGTCGCGAGTAATGTGAGGACCGATAAGTTGGTCCAGTTTTTGGGCCTTAATTTGGTGCAAATGGTTGAAAAGTTTAGAATTGGCATCCTGAATCTGGGCATAAATAGATTATACTAAAACAGGTGGACAGATTTTGGAAAGTCCAGAGCGGCAATTTACACAGGACGAAATCACATGTTTCCGTATTTCTGAAACGTGGCGGAAACATGCAACTCCATGTTTCCGTTATGTCTACGTCTTACGTCTATGTAAACGTTGTATACGCAGCAACGGAAACGCGAGAAAACGTCACGAAACCGGTAACGGAAACACAGGTTATCCGTCGTGTTTCCGGAACGGTTTAACATGTTTCTGCCACGTTTCCGTTTACGGATTCTTGCAATTTCGTCCTGTGAATTAGAATTTGTTCTTTAAGTTCGTTACGTTTCTCCGTTTAAGTGTCAGCCATTTTACGGCTAACAGTTGACTCCATTCCGTTGTGATTAAAAGTAAACATTTTTTTCACGATTAACTTTTTAACGACTATCGGCAAAATTTTTTGTCCGTTTAAGTGGCGATCTCTGTAAGAGCGGTCCAGGGTATTCCGCATCGCAAAAAAAGTTTTCCCTCAAGCTTTGCTCCATAAACTATCTTTGGTAATAAGTAAATAAAACCACATTAGTTTCTGGAAATACGTTAAAATAAAATTTTTAGAGCTCTCAAAAGTCAAAGCTGCAAAAGGCCCTTTTTTGACCTCTTGCGACATCGAAAATTTCTAAAGTTGAATAGCCCGGTCCTCGTATCACTCCGCATGCAGCAAAAAATTTTTTGTATTCTTAAACTGTGTGATATATAAGGTGTATAGAATTCATTTCAATTTTGATACTCGTTTATTCAGAGGCTCGTCATAATTTATTTAAAAACACTCGTTGGACAGCTTTCTAAAATTGGTCAAAAGTACTCTTTCTTTCTTGGTTGATATTGCTCAATTCCAGACCAGACCATTAAAAACTCCGCTTGATTTCTGCTAATAAGATGTTTGGCTGCAGAAAAATGTTAAAAAATCTTGCACTTATTGATTTTCTTCGTCGAGGTGGCTTCAAACTTTTAGCGGTATTGCTAGCGTGACAGTAGATTATGCAAATTAGTTCATTGAGCAACCTCCGACTGTTTTATCGATAAATCTTAGATTTTAACCATTTCAAGTTGAAAATATAATAGGACAGAGCTTTAATACCACACCGATTAATACTTTAAACATTTTAAAAGGCCAAAATTTGACAAATTTTATTATCTCGTGACGAAACACGTCAACAACAACGTATCAGTCGAATATCATAATTTGATTAGCGCTCGCAAACTCTTTTTTAAAAATTTGGCTTCTTTTATTTCATATTTGAGTTCTGACAGCTTACACTATTCAAACCTGTATGAACATTTCAAAACCAAACTACAGGATTCTATTTGGTGTAACTGGCGAAAACACCACACACTGAAATACACCGTGACCACTGTCACGTTATTCAATTGTGTAATTATCCTGAATTGCTTCTCCCTTCGTAATAAAGCAGCGATAACATCGCCTTTTGGATCAGAATTCTGGTCGGTAGGAATAAGAGAAATTTTGTCTGCACACCTGTCTTTATGAAAGTTTCTATTCAGAACTCTAGAGAGTTCTTGTGGAAAAGGACCCCGCGATTTTTGAGGAAATAAATTATTACGTTACGTGTCACCTCATTTTTCCAACAATTAGCCATATCTATGTTGTAAAGCGCGTAATTTTATTAGCTGTAATTCATATGTCTCTTTCAGTACTGGTTTGCTTGTGATTAATAACACTAAATTCTTGAAGCGGTATTCGCAACAAGAAGTCCTGTTTTCAGTCGCGTTCCTCAGAAACTTCGTTCGGAGACTCACGAGGAGTTTCCGGTTTGTTTAACTTGCCTCAGAGTACTGACTCAATAGAGAGTAATCTCTGCTTAATCCATTTGTCAAAAGAGAGTGTCACAGAATGAGAGCTTATCTTTGCAAGGGCTGGCCTGTTCGATGAAGAAGATTCAGTCATGGCAAAATGTGGGTCTGCGCAAAGCATAGGCACACTTATGGGAAGTTCTGGCGCCAAAGTTCAGCATACCAGTATCTGACACACCCTGGTAGCGATTCCAAAGGGGTAAGGAGCCGGTATTCTGTAAATTTGATTGCAAATGTCAAAGGCCATTTCTATGATGTGTGGCGTTCTGTAGAGGTTTAGAGAATAATGCAGCTGAGGGAGCGGATGGTTTCAAGGATTTTCTCCAAATTATAGACGAATTGGAACGCTTGGGAGCAGAAAACGATTGGTGTAAAGAAGTTGGCGAGAGGCTTCGGAAGAGCAAGTTGTATTTGAAGACTACATACCGTAATCATTGCAAAGAGGATGATAGCAAATGTGCCGATCACTGTGGGGTCTTTGCACTGAGCGATGCTGGTGACACTGACTTTCAGAAAATATGCAGTCACAGTCACAAAGTGAAGTGTGAGGATTGTGAGAAGCTGAAAAATGTTCTTGAAGAAGTAAAAGGCGCTATTTCTGAGTACACAATGCAACTGGGTATGTTTCAAGCGGAAGACTATCTGTATGAAGCAAAAAATGCTGCCGCTAAGATCTTTGAATAGAGAGGGCATATCCTGAGAGCAGAGAACCAGGATTGGTACAAGCGGCAAATTGTCGATACTTTGAAGAGAGATGAAACATTTATAATAGTTGACTGGACAATGAAGTTCACAGCGATGAAGTTCTGGGAAAAGCAAGCAGAATGATTTGAGACAGGAGGAAAGCCCGGAAGTAACCTGATACGTATGCCTTCTTAACAGCTGAAAACAAGACTGGTTTTCAGTGCTGTCAGTCTTAGAAAATCTCTTTGTCACCATAAAGTTACAAAATTCAGGAATAATAAAGGCCTTTCTAAGATCGGATGAAGCAGGTTGCTATCACAACAGTAAGCTGGTATCATCTCTACGAGAGCTCGGATATCGCCTGGCAATCGAACTGATTCTTAGCCACAGGCTGGAAAAAATATGTGTGACAGGAATCTGTGTCTGATAAAAGCGTCAATCAGGAGATACTGCAACGAAAGCCATAATGCTGTTTCTGCCAAAAGCATACATACCGCATTGAAAGAGAAACCGGTCAGGGGAACGACGGCGACAGTGTGCGTAGTCCAGGAAAAGAACTGAACCCTATAAATTAACAAGATTGCCAATTTCAGCAACTTACACAGCTTTGAGTTTACACAAGAGGGCCTGCACGTTTGGAGAGCGTTTAATGTTGGGCCTGAAAAGTTTATTCAGTAAAATTAAAATTGCAATTTTTCCACAGAAAAAAGACGGATCTGGTGGAGGAGATTCCATTTTTCCTCACTACTGCTCGACGAATTGCATCAGCAGGAGAAAGCAATGATGGCAACGACGGTAGTTCCTTTCAATGCCCTGAACCCGGTTGCGATGAAGATTTTAAGACACAGGCTGACTTTGACCTCCATATGAACTAGCTAGTTCATCATGTAAGTCCTATGCCTGCGAGCATGACTTAAAGTCTTTATGACAAAGTGAAGAGGTAGTGGGTTCATCACTTTCAGTCATTGTCATTAGAGGGTGAAAGTTCGACTGAACTGGTTGCAGTGGCCACAGAACCCTTGACAAGTGCTTCACAACTTCCCATGGGATAGGCTCTTCATAAGAGAGGAGCAAGTGAACGGCTTTAGCAAAACGTCAGGCAGTACTTGACACAGAAATTTAATATCGGATGAGACACTGGCAGAAACAAAACCCAGAAAAAGTAGCGAAGGATATGCGAACTGCTTGTACAATAGTTGGAGAGAGAATGTTTGATAGAACAGAGTGCTTATCTAACATACAGATTCAGGGTTTCTTCTCGAGATTGTGCCTTAAACAGCGATCTAAAATACAACAAGAATTGGATGATGCCACAGACGCAGACGACGAAGACGACCACTTGATAGAGGCATCCGCGTCTGATGTAGACGAAGAGTGTTTGAGAGAGGCGGTGGTATTAATCGGTGTGGTCTTAAAGCTCTGTCCTACTATATTTTCTACTTAAAATGGTTAAAATCTAAGATTTGTTGAGCTACTTATATAAAACGGTCGGAGGTTGCTCAATGAACTAATTTGCATAATCGGCTGTCACGCTAGCAATACCGCTAAAAGTTTGAAGTCACCTCGGCGAAGAAAATCAATAAATGCAAGATTTTTTAACATTTTTCTGCAGCCAAACATCTAATTAGCAGAAATCAAGCGGAGTTTTTAATGGTCTGGTCTGGAATTGAGCAATATCAACCAAGAAAGAAAGAGTACTTTTGACCAATTTCAGAAAGCTGTCCAACGAGTGTTTTTAAATAAATTATGACGAGCCTCTGAGTAAACGAGTATCAAAATTGAAATGAATTCTATACACCTTATATATCACACAGTTTAAGAATACAAAATGTTTTTTGCTGCATGCGGTGTGATACGAGGACCGGGCTATTCAACTTTTGAAATTTCGATGTCGCAAGAGGTCAAAAAAGCGCCTTTTGCAGCTTTGACTTTTGAGAGCTCTAAAAATTTTATTTCAACGTATTTCCAGAAACTAATGTGGTCTTATTTACTTGTTACCAAAGATAGTTTATTGGGCAAAGCTTGAGGGAAAACATTTTTCCGATGCGAAATACCCTGGACCGCTCTTACAGAGATCGCCACTTAACAGCAAACGGTGAAAACTATTGAGGCGTCCTTTCACGTAGACGACAATAAAGGCAAATTAACACAAACCAGGTGGTATTTTTTGTCGCGAAATGTTCATTTTTTCGCTCTGAGTCTCAGAATACGGTGAACCCTAAAATTATTTATTTACTGAGCGGGAAGAAAGGGAAAAAAATTAGATAATTGAAAGCACAGACAGCAACGGTAGGCAGTTTTTGGTTATGAGTTTTGCTCTTGTGCAATGAACTGCACTGTCATAATTAGTATTTCAAGAAGTTTTATTCTCGTTTAAATCTGAGCAATTTTTTTTGTACAGTGTATAGTTTTTTTCACGCGAACTGATCCGCCCTCTTATTTTTCCCCGGTTTTTACGCCGGATTTCGGGCCGTTACAAAGATGAGCTGTTTTCCTCGCCACAGAAACGCAATCTATGTATTTACTCAAAGTTAAGAAAGTTATCTTTTTTGATTATTGCTAGATTTTAAAAACCATGTTTTACAAAATCATTGATTGCAAGACGAATTTTTGCATGTCTTCCCATGCTTATTCTTTTCCCTCATGCTTCTCTTGAGTCTTGACTCTTGCTTGTCCTGTTCGTCTCTTACCGTACCTTGCCCACGATCTCACAACAGAGAAACATGATATCCTCTTCATTGAAAAGTTGAACTTTCGCCTTGCAGATTCGATTCTAATTGATTGAAGAATAAAATGAAGGTAGAATGACTACATTAACGTAGAATGTAAACCTATGCATTGATTTAACCCTTTACACCCAAACATCAGTATGCATATTCTCCATACCATTCTCTATACATTTCCTGAACCGCTGACAAAAAGAAAATTTGTTTTAAATTAAGAGCTTTATAAGTTGGTGATCATTTCCTTGATTCTCGTGACCATAATGATTGATTCAGGGGTGATATTTTATGGAGAAACTAGAAGCCGGTCACTCTTACGAGTTAAAGGGTTAAGGCCCTCTTTTATTTCCAGGAAAGAACAAATCAAACTTTGCACAGCTTGATAAAAATCGTCATAATGATAATGAGAATGATCAACACCATCATCCGTCATGATTGCTCTTGCGTCGATGTATGGCCGTGTGGGGCCAACAGGAGAATTTGGTTTTATCAAGTGAGTTGACAACGTAAACTGACCAGCATAAAGATTTTTTAAAGTTGACGTCTCAATCGTTAGCCCTGAGTCAGAATGAAAGGCTAACTCTTTAGAAACTCTTAACAGTGGCTCATTTACATTTTAACTCAGTCGATAAAACCAAAATATCGGGATATCTTTAGTCCTGTATGCTGGTTAACGAATTTTATATCCTTGTAAAAGCAGATTTTTTAGCCAATAGGAAGAGTGCTTACAACAGATTTCGTCGAAAAAATGTAAGTACATGCGCTTTTGAGGAAGATGTATAAACACCATATAGGAAAGGAAAACTTCACTGTTATTGTTGTCAAGCAGGAAAAAACTAAGGGAGAGAAAAAAGAGTGAAATGCAGCCGGGGCTATCAGATAGAAATCACGCGTACTAAAACCCGTGAGCTGACAGGGCTGGGCTAATTGATCGATTACCTTTAAAAGTTGAGGAATTACGGGCAATTCTCCAGATGCAGCCAACACTATGGTTTCTAGAAGACAAAAAAATTACAAAGAAATCAACAACGGTTATTAAAAATATGAATCACCGTGCACCAAGAGCAATATATAGATTGATAATCAATCAATGAGGATGGATTGCCTGATTTTTCATCGCTATATTTTTTTTTTGCTTTGTTTTCATTCGAAGCTGCCTGTTAGAGATGGTCAAAAAAGAAATTTGGAAAGATCATCGTTCTTATTTCTAAAACATGTCTCGATGTATTTCACACCGTCAGTTGAAAAACTGTTTGGAAAAAGAAACTGTTTGAATTTATACTAATCATGGGAGATATGTACAATTACATCACGGGATAAATATATGAAAAACAGGAACCAAGTGTAAACAACTATTTAAGGAAAATGTGAGGTTGGCATTCGTTGACTTTTTCATTCAGGTGGTTTTTCTTGTGGTTTTATCCCTCATCGGTTTGGTTACTACGCAAATATCAATAGGTGAAAATCAGATTATATAAAGACTTGAAATTCTATTAAGAACGATTGTGGCCGCTTCGTTAAAAATCAAATTCAATGGCCGCTTTATTTAAAACAAAAGATATCAAGAAATGGGCTAGGAATATTTCACAATGGTGCAAATGATCGTGAAAGATCATTGCTGCTAGAGCAACATTTGATGCCTGATTATCCCCACCCAGCCCACCCTCCGCCCCACAAACACACACACGCGCGCGCAAACAAAATGGACACTGTCTGCCTGATGACCTCTGACTATCCCACCTCCAGCCCACCTTTTTCCAATTCCCATCACGACGAATGTACAAGTTTTTTTTTATCACACAACTGTCCAATAATAAAAGGAAATTTATTTCAAAAGTCTTGAAAGTTCACATAAACCGAATTCAACTGTACCTAAATTCAGCAAGTCCAAGAAAACAATGCAAACTTAAGCCATAACATGAATGAGCTAGCTCCAAGAGCCCTTTGATGTACCTCCTAACTCTCTCTTTGGAAGTCGACTTACCACCAGCAGGTAAGCTGCACAAGTATGGGTACGCATGGCACACACTGTCGAGTCTGTTCCAAACAATAACCTTGCCGTTGGAGACCACTTCGTATTGCATGGATGCTTCAAGAACATCTACCGCTATTAGAAAAAAGCACTAGTTAGAACGCGGCACAGCTCTTAGTGTAATGAAAAAGTAATATCTGTTGTGCATCAAGGGAAGTTGGAGAGGGAAGATTTTGATCGAACCCGTTAAGTTTAGACAGCAGTCATAAAAAAGTTTAACAAATACGAAAAAGAGAGAATTATTTGTGATTAGAGTTAACAACTTTAAGCACTGCAGGATACATAATTGACAATCATTTCAGTACACACTGGGGATATACGCTGACTTGAAATCTCATTTCCCGAGACCTTCAATTCCGAAGTTTCGGAGAACCTCTAACTTCCAGTCGTACTCAAAATCCTCTCGTAACCTCGATTCTCAAATCCTGGTTACGAGCCGTGGAATTTCATAAGCCCCTCCTTCTTGTTTTGTAACGATATCACTTTTGATTGGAAATTAATAAAAAATATTAACATCTCCATGTCAACTTCAACTTACCAGGTGCAAATGTTACATTCCAATTTATATGAATTCCAGCAGGAAAGAAAGGCCATGGAGAAACTGTAAACGTTGGAGGCTTATCGTACTTTCCTGAAAATAATGCAAAAATGGAGTATCACCTTGTGCTACAGGAAAACAAAATTAGTTTCCAATTGAGTCTTTTGCTGATAACCAGTTGAGGACATTCATTAGCCCCTATATTTCTAACTTACTTCCAGGCCCCAAGTAAAGCTTAGATACAAAGCAATGTATGGAAAATTAAATTATGACCGTTTTTGCGACAAGCGAATACTCTTATCCTCAGCTGCATTTCACTAAAACAGCCGGTGGGCAGTGGAGAGGGAAATGAAAAATAATGGAGATGGGTAATGGAACCCGGAAATCAGATAATTGGGAAAGTAGTAAGTCTGTTGTTAAAAAGAAAATCAACAATTCTTTTTTTTTTTTTCTTTCTGGGAGGAACTCTCGACTTTCATTCCCCATGCCATTTCTGCTAACATTCTGTAATTTTTGCTAAGCAGTTTTAGGCTAAATTTAAATAGAATAACTTACCACAGACTGTCACATTAATAACTTCAAGTCCCAAGCGATATCCCCATGTTCCACTGATAACAAAAGCTAACATACCCAGGCAGATGGTTTGTGTCGGTTGTCGGGTCAAAATCATCATTGTCTTTCAAACTGACAGCTGGGAGAAAAAACAATGTAAATTAAAGGAATTTACTTTGTATTTAACGCGCCTTTTTATAATGAGCCTTTGATGGACTCTTTAAGACACTGTTCCAAAAAGAGTGATTTTTCTTTATTATTCGTGCCAAATTAAAAAAACAAACAAACAAACAAAAACAAAGTAATATGCGAATAAGTCGTGGATACATTACTTTTAAATAGGTTCTGAATGTAATAAAATTCTCCTTTACAAAAACATACAATTTTTCGTGTAAAAATAGGCAGCCGATGGGTAACTCTCGAATAGAGTTGAAACTACTTGGAATTACATTAAACTGCTGGGGTGATGTTGGGTTAATAGTCGGAATTTACCATTTTGGCTATCGTTTGACCTGCATCATTCCTTAAACTTCACCTTTTGTCATAAAAGCGTATACTATAGCAGATTTCTAGAGTAAACTTTGTATAAATGCGCCGCAGGTTATAAAAAAGATACTCGCTCCATTCCTTCCGGCATTCTTTTCAAATAAGATTCCATTGCATAGCGATTGAATCCAGACAAAATTGAAAATGAACGACTGGCTGGTTGGCTATCATTTTAGGTTCCCTCCGTGAACAATAACCTTTTTTTTTTTTTTTTGTTATTTTTGCGCTGCTGTCTACCCCACCGGTATATTTCAAGGGAGATCTTGGGAAGGGGAATGGGGAGGAGCCCCAACAATAGTCGTTTCTACGCTTCACGCTTTCACGATTAAAAGGGGATCAACCCATCGTCTGGTGAAATAATTTATTTACATAATCATCTGATTTTAGGTCAACTGCAGTATATTTATTGTATTTTGTTTTACACTTTTTTAGAGAGATGTAGGCACTATAATGAATTTGTTTATTCGCAACTTTTTTAATGTATAAAAGATGTTTATACTGATTGTGTTACTCTTCTATCTTGACTTCTGAGTTCCCTCTTACATATTTTAATGTAATGGACAGGTGTTGTTCTGTACTTATTATCAACTCGAGTTTTACCAAAATAAATAGATGGAAATGAAAGGAATTCAGGGTCTTTGTCGATAATTATACCGAAAGGTTTGTTTCCCTCTACTGGTGCAAAAGTTATTATATTTTCAACATTTTCAGTCATATCTGGTCCTTGTAACAGAGTATCTGTAACACCTGAAGTTCTTTCCTCAATTTCACATCATTCATCATTACCATTGTCTGTACAGTCTGTGAGTAATTGTTCGGTGTAGTTATAATGTCTTTTAGTAGCTTCAGAAATAGTAATTTTAGGTACAGGATCAGTTGAATGTATTTCAGCATCACCAGTGCTTGAGTGTGAATTCTTTCCGTATATTATTTTGATTTGCAATAGCATCATTGGCTCTAGTATCACGATTATCAAGCCAATTTTTCTGAACCTCTCTATGCCCATCAGGGGTGGATCCAGGGTAGTTTACCTGATTTCCGGAACTCACTCAAATTTTTTCCGACCTAGTTAAATGTTGATAAAAGTACTTTTGGAAAACACTCTAATTTCCCTTTGGAAACTACTGATACTTTTGTGGAAATCACTAAACGTCTTCCAGAAATAAACCATCTTCCTGTTTTACAGTTATTTATTAAAGAAAATACGTTTAGAATGACTAATTTCGTTATAATTGCGGTCATGAGGCGTTCGGGAGCGCTCCGGATCACGCGCTGGCCTTTCGAGCTTCGATTACACCTCGGAACCCGTCGGAAGCCGTCGGAAAATGTTCGTAGAGCCAATCTTTACGCAACCGGTGGGTGTAAGTCCTTGTTATTTGGTGACAATAACAGGCGGAACACAGTCAAAACCCCTCACGATTGGCTAGCAAAGATTTAGTCATCGGAACTCACTCAAAACACTCTTCTGATTGGCTAGTTGTGTTTGGAAACTACCTGGGAAACTACTGACAAAGTATAAAAAGGGCAGTTCCTCCCCCAGCGGGTCTCTTTCGTTGCTCCTACAATACAAGTACTTTTGAACTTGCTCAGGGGTTAACGACGGAATTTACTGTTAAACGTTTAAAAAATACTAGTGTTATGACTCGCGGAGATCCTGTTTGTCGGAGGGAGGATTGTTCTCCCTTCGACATTGGCCTAGTTTTCGACGAGATCCACAACTACTCGCCGCATCAGAAGCTGGAGTTCGTCGAAAACGTGTGGAAACCAGGTGAGCTTTTTGATTTCCCCGTGTCAATGGAAAATGGAAAATCTCGTAAGTTTGTCTCGGGCTGGCTGAAAAGATTTCCATGGCTAGCTTACTCCAAATATTTCGATGGAGCATTTTGTTTAGCTTGTGTTTATTTTGGAGTTCAGTGTGGGCGAAACGCTAATAAGTTAGACAAATTATTGAAGTCTCCTCTCACAAAATTGGACTTCGGCCGCTTCTCGCTTAACCAAACACTCGCTAGGAAATTGTGAAATTCACAATTTTTCTATGACTGCTATGAATGATTTCAAGAGAATGATGCAAAGAGGAGCTGTCCCAATTGACCAGCAGTTAAATAACATAGTTCAACAGCAAATCGCGAGAAATCGGGAGATTCTAAAGTCCCTTTTCAAAACTATTATTTTCTGTGGGAAAAACAACATCCCACTCAGGGGGCGGAGAGATGATGATCCCACTAATGCTGCCCTAACCGGTAGTTTCCAGGCATTGCTAGAATTCCGGGTAGACAGTGGTGACCAAACACTGCAGCAACACCTGGACACTGCACCCAGAAATGCCACATACATTTCATGTTGGTGCTCACATTTTGAATGATCTATCACAGGAAATAAGAAATAGTAAGTATTTTTCAGTTATGGCAGATGAAGCTGCTGACATTTCAAATAAGGAGAATGTTTCTGTAGTAATAAGATTTCTGGATACAACTAAAACCATCCGAGAAGAATTTATTGGGTATTACATTTGTGAGGAGGGATTAACAGGGGAGGCTATCAAGGACATTATAACTGCAGCTGTAGCAAACTTAGGATTGACAATGGAAGACTGTCGTGGGCAGTGTTATGATGGTGCAGGCAATATGGCTGGAAGACTAAATGGAGCCTCCTCATTGATCAGTGCAGAACACAAAAAGGCAATCTATGTCCACTGCATGAACCACAGGCTTAATTTGTGCATAGCAGACACTTGCCAATTGCCAATTGTCAGGAACATGATGGATATTGTGCGCAAGATTTCTAATTTTTTTAACAACTCTCCCAAGCGTCAACAACATTTAATAGCCAAGATCAGAGAACTATTGCCTCGGGCAAACCATACTGTTTTAATTGATGTGTGCCGCACACGATGGATTGAACGGATTGATGGAATGGACCGCATAGTTGAACTTCTCTACCCAGTCACAGCTACACTTGAAGACATCTCACTTAACAGAAACAGCCCTGGAGACTCAACCTGGAATCCAACAAGTAGACATGATGCTCAGTCCTTAATAAATGCAATCAACTTTTCCTTTATTGTTTCTCTTGTTATTGTCAGACATATTTTGGGATTAACTAGACCACTCACAGTGAAGCTGCAACAAAAAGCGATGGATCTTCTAAAAGCTAAAGATGAACTTGCTCTTTTGAAATCAGTCCTTGAAGACATGAGCACTGACATTGATAACAGACATCATAATCTCTACCAGGAAGCAGTGACCATTGCAAGACAAGTAGCAGTCCAGCCAGAAATGCCAAGGATAGCCCAGAGACAAATGCATAGAAATAATGCTCCTGCTGCAACTCCTGAGGGATATTTCAAGATCAATCTCACTAGAGTTTTTCTTGACCATGTACTCCAGCAGCTCAACACCAGATTCCAGGATGATGTATTTGTTTGCTATAAAGGTATTTCGATTATTCCCTCTGTTTTACTAGCTACTGACCCTGCCTGGAAGGCCAATGTTTTGGGATTTTGTAACCATTACAGACAGGACATACCAAATTATGCAGGATTACAGGCAGAGCTTTTGTTATGGGAGAGATTGTGGAAGGGGAGGGATAACAGAGGAGATATTATTCCTGACAGTTTGGAGGCTACACTGAAGGATATTGACAAAGATGCATATGTCAACATCTATTCCATGCTGAAAGTCCTGATCACAATTCCAATTTCATCTGCATCTTGTGAGAGATCCATATCATCCCCTCGGAATCTTAAGAACTATTTGAGAAATACAATGACCCAGGACAGACTGAATGGATTGGCACTGATGCATGCCCACAGAGAAATGGATTTTGACCTTGAACGTATAATAGATTTATTTGCTGAGTTACATCCTAGGAGAATGAGAATGGCAAACATTTTGTAATAATTTTTTGCACCAGCTGTTTCTAGAGTACCTGTGAGTTATGTTCTGTCTGGGTTATGGCCTTTAAGTCTCATAATCCTTAAACTGATGAAGAACAGTACAGAAGCTCAAACTGGTGCCTGTATAACTTTTTTCAACTCATTTCAAGGTTATTTTCTATTTTGTTTTACTTGTGATGATTTTACATTGACATTGACATTGGGTTTTCATGTTAAGCTTAAATGGTTAACAAACATTTTCACTGAACTCAACCAGCTTCACAGCAATTCCCAAGGATGAAGAAAGTCTAGTATTATTTCAAATTATCATTTTACTTCAATTTGTATATCATTTTATGATTCTTATAATTTATATTTTTCTAATAATTGTTTTATTTTTTGAATTCCAGCTCCCAACACAGGCTAACCATCCATAAAGCCCTTCTCTCTCTCTCAAATTCTTTTCTGTGTTGTGCTCCTATAAATGAAATGAATAAAAGCCAGCTCAGGAAATGTTGTTTTTAGTGTTGCTAAACATTTGGATTTATTGAGCCTGGCTTTCATTCATTTCATTCATTATAGGAGCACAACACAGAAGAAATTTGAGAGAGAGAAGGGCTTTATGGATGGTAAGCCTGTGGTCCCAAGGATGAAAAAGGCAAGTAGATTTTTATTATCAATCTTTAAACTATATCATCAATTGTGCATGTTTTTCTTTTGTTATCAAAAACACTAACACTTGGTTCGTTTTTTTTTCTCCACATCTTGATTTTCCTGACTGGGAGGTGATGTTTTCCAGTGTGAAAAGTCTTGGTGATGACTTGGCCTTCCGGAAAACACTATATACACTGGTTTGCACAGTAGCTAAAGGTGGAATATTTGTAGATCAGAGTGTTTCCTGTAGTACTTTCAAGAAAAATAAATGTTTTTTGCCTTTTTGATTACATGCTTTTTTAGTCTTTTAGGGGCAATTAAATTTTCTAAAAATGCATGAAATGGCCTTTAGAGAGCTCCAAATTTCAAATTTTCTCGGGGGGGGCATGCCCCCGAACCCCCCTAGCAGGAGTGGGTCCTCGGGTGGAAACTACTCACTCAAAATCCTGGATCCACCCCTGAAGCTCTTGGCTTGCTCTCAATTGGACACCAGGTCTGAAAACCCATTATGTGCCTCTCTTCTCTTCCTTTGTGGGAATAACCCTTTTTGGCGATTTCACTGTTGCCTTACAATTTCTGTTTCAGTTTTGAGGAAGCAAATCTTGTCCCCCTTAGCTTGTGTCTGACTTGTTTTTCCTTTTTTTCAGTAGAAGTCAGATATTTTTGACACTTCTCAAGTTGAGTTTGAAGCCTCAACACGTTCTTTTTCAATTGGATGTTCCTTCCTTTTACAAATACTGAAATTGTGAAAAGGTTACACAATAAAAACTAGCTAAATTTAGCAGATTTCACATGATAAAGTATTGAAATAAAGAATACAATGTAAAAATGTCCAACTAGAAATCTTCTCGACTAGGTATATTTAGAATGTGTAGTTTAAATTTGGCAAAAAAAAGTTATCACAATTGGAAAGTTAAATAAGTGAAACTATTGCGTTTCCACGGTGGTCCATGCGCTGATAATTTTGTTTATGTTTATTAAAACTTCTAACACAAGCCTTGAAACTTCACTCGTAAAACTCTCGATACTGTATGACGCTTAAATATACACCTCCTTATGATCTGCTGACCGAAAAAATTAACTTGCCTGTACATTTATTTTCTTAAGCACGAACCTTTGGAGGGAATCTAGTCCGCTGTTTAATTTTTTCGCTTTTAGTGCGCGTACTACCTCCCTTGCGTTAATCACCGCTCCGAATAATTAAGCAAGGAAAAGCCTGAGAGTACTGACTATGCAACCATATCGACTACCTTGCCTTTATATTAGAGGAGTTTTCCTTTTTTCGGCTTCTGTTCGGTGGGAGTACTATCGGTTTATGATTAAAATCATTCTTTTAAGTAATGCTCAGTAAGTAATACTCTTAGAGTTCACCACGTCCTGAGTTTCAAAGGAAATAAAAAATTTTTCGTGACAAAATATCATCCATATTCGCAGCATAGGGCCGTTTGTTGCAGAAATAAAAACGGAAGGCTTTGTGCTTCAGGGATTTTTAATTTGTTGCATGGCATAGCTTACTTTAGATTCGGTGGTGTGTGCTGATTGGAAAGGAAAAGAGAGAATGAGCGCTTTTTCCATTCATGAAAAACTTCATGAATAATCCCAATGCAGTCGAACGCTCACCATATATCGTGATTCCGCGATGTCTCAGTGCAGTTCATGACAGCTGCATGGTTATCATTGCCGACCCGTTAAAAAGTCATTTCCTCATCAAAAGGCAAACTAATTTATATTTCTTTACCGAGGTTAACTTTCCATATGAAATTTGAGACTTGTGATAAGCGCATGCTCTGATCTATTTTCTACTTTCATCGCACTATTTACAAAAGTGCGGAAATATTTTATTCCTATCATAAAGTGTGTGCTTTTGATGCTCGTTCCCCATGGACATGAGAGCGGTCAAACGTTTCTAGATTAAACAGTTTTTTAAAATCATATTTATGATATCTCATTTTTATAAAAACATTTACGATAGCTTCAGCAAGAAAACACTGTCTCTTCTCCACTTTCTTCTCGTGTTTCTTCTTCATATTGCTAAACAATATAATAGCTCCACTCCCGCAATCAATTCACACGCGCAAAGTCAAAACGATATTAACGCGCGTGACAGTGAAAGCTGTTCCACGCAACAGCCGCAAACTTTGGAAAAAAAAAAAAAACGCATGAAGCGTATGGCACGAACTGTGGCGTATATCACCAGCGTGCTTTTGCTTTGTAATTCAATACTCATCGTAACCTCCTTGGCTGATATAGTGATTGAAAATGATGCATTTTAACATTATCTGTTATACCCACTAGCCGAGACTGCGACATTCCTCAATTCATCCCCAAACGCATTTCCTTACTGCTGCCGATGAAAAGACATAGGGGAAAAATCTGGCTCGTTGTAAAAGGAGAAAAATATTTAACCTCCACGAGGTTTAATTAATCAACGAGGCACTGGAAAAATACTGATCTGAAAGTAAACCTTTTCAAATCAGTTTTAAAAAAGAGCAGACTAGTGGCGTGAGGTTGAACATAGAGAAAGTTTTAAAAAAAGAGGAAAGCCGTGCTTATTTAATATCCATGGTACAGTCCTGAATCTGTCCAAATTTAAGGTACCACGCCATTTCTGGTTTTCATATGCTTCAAACCAATAAAGGTTTCTGATGACTTGATGAAAAAAATTCAAAGAGAGAAATAAACTCAGAAGCCATTACCCCGGCTAACTGATAGAAAGTGTGCTTTATTACTTAAACATATATGATGCGTCAAAGTCATAAATGCTCGAAAGTGCGAGGGGTTCAACTTTTTAACTAACCAGAACGTTGTTATTATTACATTTTTTGACTAAAAAATAACCTGTCTTATTATTTAAAAAACTAATTTATTATCTCAATTTAAATTAAAGACTCAAAGAATTACTCTTTGCGTTTTGAATAACACAGCCTTTGCGGGAGCCGCCATAGTGCCTTTAGTTACAATGAAATGTCATCCAGAAGTCTCACAATAGCCAGAGAGATATCAAGGAAAGTTCTAAATGTTTAAGCCATTTAAAGCGAGATATTTCATCAGCCATAGAAAAGTAGTTTTAAGACAAATATTTTCATGAAGTTCTTCAGTTGCTTTCTTCAATGAAGTATGCAAGTTCATCGGATGTTCCTGTTCTTTTGACCACTCTACGTGATACTCCTTCGCAAAGGAAAATGAAACATCGGATCGGGTTGAAGGTAATGTACTTCCAAATTGACTTCACGTGTCGAATTCCTTTTCCTGTAAGGTAGAAAAAAAAAGACAGAGTTCATCGTTTATACATGTAATTGAAATCTTGCACGAAGGCGTTAAAAAAGGTAAGGTGTCCCTTTTTTCGGAAATTTGTCTTTGTTTCCGCTCTAGCTAAGAAGCGTTTTGAGAATGGGTGTTGACATTTCGTTAGCACAGTGGTTTGGATTTCTTTTTAGGATCTCAATATTCATCATACTCCATCTGTAACTCGCAGTTTTCTAATGTTGGAACAGTACAGGACATGAATAGAGAAAATAACTCGGCTGTCAGGATAACAAGGTCTAAAAGTTCCACTTACAGTAAGAGTTAA